AGTTTTATCAGATCAGATCACTATACTTCAATCTTCTATAGTCCAATTTCCATGTAATTTTACAAATTATAATTGGAATTTTTTATATATTTTACTTTAAAATGGCTTCTTGCACCATGTATAAGCTTTAAATCCATTTTTCTTAAGAATTCTTTAAATTGTATTGAATACTAATATTTATTTTTTCATATTTTTTCAAGGATCTATATATATTCATGGCTGTTTTGCATTTTCCTTTTAAAATTTTTCAGCTAATAATACATTCCTCATATAGAATAAATTTAGACAGATAATTAGGAATAGGTTTATTTTCTAATTTGTTTGTTTTAAGATATTTTTTTTAAATTTAGATATAGTGGAATAATGAACATTCTTGTCAATTTTAATAGCAACCTGATGTAAACTATAACCTTCTTATAATAAGATAATATTCTTTGCTTTCTTCTCTATAGATAACTGTCTTGAGAACATCTGGTCCATATATGGTTTGAGTAAATTTTTAAATTTTTAGATTTTTACTCAAAAATGCCAAAAGTTGTACAACAGTAAATTTTTATTAATTACACCATAAATTTTTTATTATTATTTTAATCACTATTCTACCATATATACTGAATAGATTAGACTATACACTATATATATTGTTAATTTTGCCATAATTTGATCTGATCTGATTAAAATTTTAACACTTAAAGATTGACAATCAAGTGTTGCATTTTTTTTGGGAAACAGTATATTTTATAAGTTAATTATCATATTATGCCTTACATTTTTTCTTAATAGATATGACCACTTACAAATTATAATAATCAGGTATAAATTTAAAAAATGTACAAATATTAAAGGATCAATATAAGTTCGCAAAAATCAAAATGTGTCTTGGTAGTATAACACATTATCAAGAATCAAAATTATATCATATACAATATACTGTATATCTGATAATCATCTAAAAATATGTTTCGGATTTGTAAGTCATCAAGAGAAAATCAGATATCTTCTGGAATATCTGAATTGCTAGATATAGTATAAATCTTATAGTGCAATTATAAGTTAAAATTGTTATATCAATTGTAATATAAGGAACATATTGACAAGGATAAATTTTTTTTTTGATGTTAAGATGAGACACTTCTCATGATCTTTATTGATAGAGTAAATATATAATATTATATGATCAATATTAAGATATAAAATATATGGCTATACATATGGTCTACCACCTATTGTAGTAGATATATTTCCAAAAAACCTTGAGCAGACAAAAAAAGAAAGGAACTATCTACTAAAAAAAATAAAAATAAAAAAACATTTGGGGCAAGATCGCCATTTAGTAAAAGTAAAAAAGTAAAAAAGAAGAGGTGTCAGAAAAATATTGAAGCTTTTGTTAAATGTAGTTCCTGAACGCAAATAATGTTTCAGTTGGATAACAACATCGCGCAAGCCACATATAACTTGATGGGTTTGATCAAGTGATTTTTGTAATATGTTGCTATTAAATGATATGGTTGTGTTGTAGTGTTATAGTGGGGTAACTGGAATACGTTCCATATGTTTGTTGTTTTATTGTGGTAGATTGTTGTGTATTGTGATTACCGGAACCCGCGCAGGGCACTAATCACGTGCTCTTCCAATCCAGTAAGTTGTTGTATTGTTTTGATGTGGTTTGGTGATATAGAATGTCATTGGTGTTTTATGTGTTGCAGATCTTTTGGTGGGGTAAGCTGATTTCGGTTTTTTGTGTGTGGAGGTGGATGAGGATTGACAACTAGTCAGAAGGTTATGCTAATTAATCTGGCACTAGTTATCATCAGCAGAAAACAAAAACTTTGAAAAAATAAAATACTGCCTCTTGAAGAGAAGATTGTGTTTGATTTTGTATATATTTTTTGTGATGTGATAGGTAGTAATGTATATGAATACAGTAAAAAGGTTTTCTTTTGTTTGGAGGTTGCTTACATAGGTTTTACTCAGTAAAGCAAAGAGTTTAATCGAAGAGGTTTTTGCCACTCCCAAAGCATCCACCCCTCTATGGAGAGTTAATCGACCTTTTGCACCCTGCAGAAAGCTAAGATGAACTCCTCTCCTAGGAAGAGGTTCTTGCTTGCTATTTACTGTCTATCATTTATGTCATTACCAAAAAATGAATTTTTTTATGGATTGAAAGATTGTGAGAAAGAGTTTTTTTTTTTTGACAAGGATAAATGTTTTGCCACTAGTTTAAACTATCTAAACTTTTTATTAGTCTGGCTTAAAGGAAAGAAATATTAACTAAAGGATTGATTAAGTACCTTTATTATCTTATTGTGTGAACTTTATATTTTCATATGCATATAATATATATATTATATTATTTCTTATTACTTGTAGTTGATAAACTATTTAAGCTCTGCACCAGATTGAGATAGTTTAAATTAGAGCTCTAATTGCTATTAAAAGAAATAATAATTAGAATTGGTTAGATAGAGTACAGTTCAATCTAGTTGTTCAAATATAAGAGTAGTATTAATTGGAAAATTAGGCAGATGCTTTTGTATTATTTTGTACAACTACTGTAAAACTTCTTCTGGCAATTATCATATTAAATCCATTATGCTATTATATCTTTTTTAGAGATTATAACTTTAATATTCACTAAATTAGCATATGACAACTTCTTTTTTTATAATTTTTTCTTTTTTTTATTATTAAATAAATATAATATTAATTATAAACAAATTTCTTTTGATATTTATTATAATAATTGTGTATATAGCAAAGTTGTATTTTAATCACTTTTGTTATAATATATATTTTTTATATTTTTTAAATTTATATAAAATAACTGGTTCTTTATTACCATAGACCTAGATATCAAAGACAGCCTTGTAATAGCTAAAGCAAACCACTTAGTGCTTACATGTCACTATGAGTATAAATAATTTATTAGTATACTTTAGCCTTAATAGGAATCTTGGCAATAGCCAAAGACAACGTCTACGTATCAGTCAATATTATCAAAGTTCCTAATCTATTTATCCCAAGTTATATTAATTGTAAGATCAAAATAGTCTATAGCTATTTAGTAAATTATATCTTTACATTTTGCAAGTCCAAAGAAATTAGACTACAACTTAACAAACTTGAGAATCTTTTCAATTTTCAAGAAAATGATTTAATAATCTGCATAGACAACATGATAGAAATCAACAAGCACATTACTAGTTCACTTATTAAAAACATGTGGGGATATAGCATAATAACCTGGCTTAAAAGAGTTCAACAGTCCTACAGGCTTATTAATCTAATTAACAGTTCATCAATTAAAAGCAAATGGAATCAAATATTAATATCAGAGACACTGTAGCATCTTATACTTGCAAATAACTTACTAATCAAAAAGACAAATATAATTTCTCATTTTTGTTGGCCTTTAGAAACAAAATCCTTAGCAAAACCCTCCCTATAAGAAAGTTACTACACAAAAGATATCCTAATAACTATTAAGATGATCCCTGTTTTAGATGCTTGATAGCACCAGAAACCCAGGAACATGTCTTTGAATATTACAAAAATATTGAAGCATATGAGAAAATTGAAACTAAAATGAACTCGCAACTAAAGAGGCTCTCAAATAAAGTCAATATAACGTTTCAATACTCATCAGACCTTAATATTAACAGGAAATTACAACTAGAAAAAATAGCATGTAGTATAACAACTCCTAATACCCATCTCTCAAACAAAAAACTAGTCAAGTTTACAAATAGTGTTCTTAAACTTTTTTACATACTGGTATAGATATCTAGATTAGCAACAGCAAACACATTAGTATCAACAGGCATCAAATAGACCAAAAATTGACACGGCATACAAAACACTAAAGCAAAAAACACAATAGGTCCTTTACAAGAATCAGATCTTTTTTAACAAATCATTACCATATCAGATTTTACAATATGCCAAATCAAACAGCATACTCAAATCATCGGACCTACTTTCAATTCTGGAAGGGCATTAAATATCCAGCACTAGAGCCAATCTGAGTTATATCAAATGTAATTAGGATAGCAATAGTTGGCATTATAAATAAATTAATATTAATTTATATTTGTTATAAAAAGATATTTGATATAATCTGTATATCAATTTATATACTTAATAAAGTTTTGTATCCAATGCCCTTTTATGATAATAAATAAATAAATTTATATAAAATAGTTTTCTTTTAAAAAAGGTATTCATACTTATATCAAATAAATAAAATTTCAAAAAGTTTGCAATGTACAGTATATAATTATTTAAATAAAATTTATTTATAATAAACTTTTATAATATTGTTATTGATGATAATTCAATAATTAAATTAAATTACTTTTTATATAACAATAACATAAAATATTAAATTATGCTATTAAATAAGACTAGACTTTTTTAAACCATAAAACATATTACAATCTAATTAACTTTCTACACTTGTAATATCTCTTTAATTATTCTTTTAAGCATATCTTAAGATACAAGTATCTCTTTACAAAACAAAAGTTTCTTTATTCAAAGTCTTTACTTTATTGATGCATGCAATTACCAGTTTAAGTCTTTTCTTATCTAGGTTCTAAAAAAACACTCCATTTATTTAACATTATTATATCTAATTTACTATTATTTATTACTAAATTATTATATCAAATTGTTATATTGCATAATATATTGCTGTGTCATATATCCATATTCGATTATACTTACAATATTAAACTGTCTTTATGGTTATTTGAATTTATTTTTTGTAACAATTAAAGATTTTCTAATTTTCTGGGTAAAAAGCAGTCCATTCCAACACATAATAATGATTTTTTTTATAATTCATTTAAATGGATCGACAAAAATAACTTAATGAGCATTCATATTTGAAGTAAAATGTAAACTTTTTCTAAAATTAATAAGTTATTTCATGTTTTATTTGATCAAACTTCATAATAATATAATTATAATTAGTATTCTTTGAGTAAAAAATAAATCTTCTAAGTCTAACAATAAATAAACAACATTTTTTAATTTGATCGAATATTCCATAAAATTTAACAATAATTTATATTTTTAAACGAAAGGTGAACTTTTCCTTGACCTAATAATATATCATCATCATTTGATTAATTTTATTAGATCTGTATTGGGTACAAAATTTTATAGGTAAGGTTTGAGGCATTACTAATTTGCTCCGAGTTTCTATAAAAATCAACTAAATGGTATGTTCATAAAACATGTCATAACAAACCATCACTAACTCAAAACTCAATTCACAATTTCTTATTAAGATTATTCTCATATCTCACTAGCTCAATTCTTATTTAGTAAAAATCCTTAACATTTTCATTTTTTATTTGATTCTATTCTTGTCACTTAGACACATGTTTGAGCAATTCTTGAAGTAAACTAAATAATGGAAATAATTGAAATAGACAAAACAAACCATATATTAAAAATAAATTTAATAAAAAATAAAGTAAATTATTAATGTGAATGTTATCTACGATATACATGCTATGATTAATATCTTCGTTGCAAAAGCTATTTTTATTGCCCCAGGGGTAAACAAAAATAAACTTGTTTCTACATATTTTGATATTTAAAATGCTTTAGATACTTTGGATATTTTGAATGAATAAATTAAAGTTCTATTTAACCGTGAAAAAAAAACAATGACCTAACATTAAATCATCTACTAATCAACGACACTCCTTATTACACAATTATTACCTATAAATTCCTCACCCCTTTCGATACACTTAAGCGCTACTCGTGACATTACCTAATTGATTTTTGTTACAGTATTCCCACTAAGTATTCTAAATTACGATAAATACGTTTCCCCTATTGCGAACCTCCTGTAATAATTTAATGATTCTTCATATTTTCCAAGTGAAAAGCAGACCTCATTCAAACATAATAATATATCTTTGTTATTTGGATTAATTTGATCTACTTTCATATAATAATTTAACGACTCTTCATATTTTTTAAGTGAAAGGCTGACTTGTCCTAAACCTAATAATATATCGACATTATTCGGTTTAATTTGATCGGCTTTCCTGTAATGATTTAACGACTCTTCATATTTTTTAAGTGAAAAGTAGACTTTTCCTAAACCTAATAATATATCGGGATTGTTTGGTTTTATTAGATCAGCCTTCTCATAATGAATTAATGACTCTTCAATTTTTTTGAATGAAAAACAGACTTTTCCTAAACCTAATAATATATCAGCATTATTTGGTTGAATTTGATCAGCTTTCTTATAATTATTTAATGACTCTTCATATTTTTTAAGTGAAAGGCTGACTTGTCCTAAACCTAATAATATATCGACATCATTCGGCTTAATTTGATCAGCTTTCCTGTAATGATTTAACGACTTTTCATATTTTTCAAGTGAAAAGTAGACTTTTCCTAAACCTAATAATATATCAGCATTGTTTGGTTTAATTTGATCTGCTTTTCTATAATGATTTAATGACTCTTCATATTTTTTAAGTGAAAGGCTGACTTGTCCTAAACTTAATAATATATCGACGTTATTCGGTTTAATTTGATCTGCATTCCTATAATAATTTAGCGATTCTTCATATTTATTAAGCAAAACGCAGACTTTTCCCAAAACTAATAATAAATCAATGTTATATGGTTGGATTTGATCCAATCTCTTATAGTAATTTAGCGATTCTTCGTATTTTTCCAGTGAAAGGCAGACTTTTCCCAAACTCAATAATGTATCTTCATTAGTTGGATTGATTTGATCAGCTTTCCTATAATAATCTAACGATTCTTCATGTTGTTTAAGAGAAAAGTAAAAATTTCCCAAACATAATAATGTATCTTCATTGTTTGGTTTAGTTTGATCGGATATCCTATAATAATTTAGCGATTCTTCAAATTCTTCGAGTGAAAAGTAGACTTTTCCTAAACCTAATAATATTTCAGCATCATTTGGTTTAATTTGATTAGCTTTCTTATAATTATCTAATGATTCTTCATATTTTTTAAGTGAAAGGCAGACTTGTCCTAAACATAATAATATATCGACATTATTCGGTTTAATTTGATTTGCTTCTCTATAATAATATAACGACTCTTTACATTTATTAAGCGAAACGCAGACTTGTCCTAGACATAATAATATATCGACATTTTGCGGTTCAATTTGATTTGCTTTCCTATAATAATTTAACGACTCTTCATAGTTATTAAGCGAAACGCAGACTTGTCCTAGACCTAATAATATACCGGCATTTTTTGGTTTAATTTGATTAGCTTTCATATAATAATTTAGCGACTCTTCATATTTCTTAAGTGAAAGACAAAGTTTTCCTAAAACTACTAATATATCGGCATTATTTGGCTTTATTTGATGAGATATCTTAAAATAATCTAATGATTCTTCGTATTTTTCAAGTGAAAAATAAATGCCTCCGCAGGCTAATAAAGTTAGTATATTTTGGGGTTCAATTGTTAATGCTCTTTTAATATCTTCTAAAGCATTTTGGAATTTTCCAAAATTACGGTAAATTCTGCTCCGCTTTATAAAAGCTAATGACTTTTCTGGGTATAAACTTATTGCATTTGAATAATCTTCAAGTGCCTTTGAATATAATTTAAGCTTTTCTGAGTTTTTCGCTCTATTGCATCTAATAGAATAACTATGTGAATAATTTTCCAATGCACGTGTATACCACATGATTGCCTCTAAATGGTTTTTATTTTCTTGTGCCTCGACTGCTTTGCGATATGCAGGATCTAAATTCTTTGGCTTTATTTTATTTAAAAATTTTGTTGTAGGCACATTAACTCCTGGCATTCCAAATGAACGTAACTTATTCAATTTTAGAAAAACCTCGTCTTTGAAATCGTGCGTAGAATTTGATGATATATGATTAAATTTACATGGCATATCAATATAACCAGCTTCCTTTAGTCGTTGATAAAGACCCTTAAGAGTGGCATTCTGCGGAAGATTGTATATAGATTCCTGTTCTATTAGAGTACGGCATATTGGACATTCAAATTTCCTATCTTCAAATTGCAACATTGATTTCCATTCATCAACCGCGAATTTACTGATTGAATGCCTACATCCTAGAACATAAAAATCTCCAGTGATTTCTTTCATTATTGGACAAGTTAATCTTTCGGCTACAATATTTAATAATTCGGAATCTACTTTAGATGCATCCTGATTAGGAACCCTTCTTTCTTTTCCCTTTTTAGACTTAATTGGATTTCCTAATTCGTTGCAAATTTTATTATCAATTTCAATTTTCTGTTTAACTTTGTTAATTAAAATATCGATATTTATATCTTGTTTACTTGTTTCTTTATAAAGTTCTATTTCAACTTCAACTATCTCATTAAATTGTTCTGGATGTTTATATGACAATATAAATAATAATTCCAAGGATTTATACCTTATAAAGTCGCTATTGAATTTTTGAAAAGTTTCCATGCATATGTAATAGCATAAGGCCAAAGAAAATTCCCGCGAAGTTTGGTTGATTATGTTTTGCACCAAGTTAAGTACTCCAAACAATAATAAATGTGGTAAAGAAGTTAACTTGTAGTCACGAACTATGTCAATAAATCCTGATTCATTATTGAAAATTTCAAAGTCTACATGTGATGATTTAGAATATTCGTCAAACACATGCTGCCAAATAATTTCTAAAAGCATTATTTCTCCATTTTCGACTAATGCTTGATGATTTTCGTCTTCAATTAATGTTGATAAAATATTATTGATTGTCAGTAGCTTGCGCCAGGTAAGATACCAATTGGAAATGGAATAGGTAAATGAAAGTTCTTCATCGTATATAATTGGTGCTGCGATTCTTGGTATTATCTTTAACATGAATAGTCGCGCTAAACCAATAAATTTTGAACAAGGATACGTTTCATTTTTCATATTATACAGAGTATCTCTTATATGAATCAGAAGAAAATTTATGTTGTAATTACATGAAATCATGTAATTATCATCCAAACTGGTATTGCGCATAAAATTGCTTTG